CAAGCCTTGATCAGCTAGCGAATAATCGACCCGCGTCTCCACAACCAACAGCACACACTCACTTAGGGAAGGATCATGAAGCGGGTCCGGAAACATCCGACCCGCGCATGCGCGGGTGGAATCATCGACGACCCGGCGCGTTGCGCGGGTGGATTGATCGACCCGCGCTTGCGCGGGTCGGATTGATCCGTCCCGCGCTTGCGCGGGTCGGATCATTCCGCTCCTGCGCTTAAGCAGCGGGTTCGCGAGACTTTCTCCCTTTTTTTTTTTTGGTTTCTTTCTCGGGACTTGTTCTTTGTTGCGTATTCGTTCGATTTGTCGACTTGTATGCTTCGTCGCGAGACCGATCGTCGAACGGGCGTTGTTAACATACGCGTGCTGATCGATGCGGCGCAGCGGGCGATGACGTGCGTGCGTTGACTGGCGCGCCAGGAGGTGATTTGACGTGCACTCGTTGACTGGCGCGCGCGAGTTGGTTGACGTGCGCGCGTTGACGCGACGCGCACGAAATTGATTTGACGTGCGCGCAGTTGACCGGCTGCGCACGAGTTTGGTTGAGGTGCGCGCGGTTGACCGGCCACACGAGTTGGTTGACGTGCACGTGCGTTTGACCGGCGCGTACGAGTTGATTCGACGTACGCGCGTTGACACGCGCGACGGCTGATCGACGGTGCGCGCGTTGACTGGCGCGCCAGAGTTGATTGACGTGGCACGGCGTTTGACGCGACGCGCACGATGGTTGGTTTGACGAATGCCTTCTTGACTCGCCCATTCATTGCTTCGAGTTTCGTGTGGGCTCTCGTAGACAATTTTAGACGCCTACATATGGGAGATACTTTTCCTGCTGTAGTTCTTAATCAGTTCATGTGCAAGAAGAAGAAAATTTCAAAACTTACAAACAATAAAGATGAATTCAATGGATTACCATCATGCACTGAAAATTTAAAATTTATAAAAAATAACCTCAAAGTTCTTAAAATTGCAAAAAACTCTTTCAAAACTTAAAAATCACAAAAATCCTAAAATTTAAAAATTTATAACCAATACATATCAAATCTCAAAATTATCAGCAAACCGCTAAAATTTTGAATTTTACAACAAACAATCCAAAGTTTCAATAATTGTAAAAAAACCCTCAAAATTTAAAGTTGCAAGAAATATCCTGACATTCGAAAACTTACCACTAGCACATGAAATATAAAAATTATAAACACACAACTTAAAAATTAAAATTTTTAGAAAACACTTTCAAAATTTGCAAAACAACCAAATTTTCAAAACTTTGCAAAGAAAAAGTAGTTGGATATTCTTTCATTGAGATATATAAATTTAACTTCTAATTTAAGGTTTTAATATCCTTTTGGCATATAAACGTAGTCTAATTTTATCAAAAAAGATAAAGGTGGAGAAGAATTGATAACATCTTAATAAAAAATAAAACAGAGAGAATGAAAGGCAGTATTTTCTCAATATCTTATAGAATAGTTTTTTTTTGAGTAAATTAGGAATATTTAGAAGGGATTTTCGTAAACATTTTTAGTATTTTTATATGCTCATGTGGATGCTTTCATTATATAAAAGTGTACTTGAGTTAGCATTAATCTTCAGTTTATGATTTTTTAAAGTCTATCAAGGATTATGAACAAACTCCATATTATATATGAGATTAATGGGTATCATTGTCAAGGAGGAAAATCCCCTCCTTGACAATGATGTGGTTATAATCTCCATCATGTGAAATTTTCTCTCCTACTTTATTCACATGGTGGGGATTGTGCCACGTCATTGTCAAGGAGGGAATCTCCTCCTTGACATAGGATACACATTAATCTTATTATATTATGTTATTTTAGCCCACTTTTAACTAATCATCTTATCTTATTAGCTTTAATTATTTATTTTTCTTTTAAAACGCTATTTTTTAAGTGTTTTTCATTTTTGCAATGTTATACTTTCTCAGGTCAAGCTTGATTTCATGTTGGTCTCAATGACATGGTAATTCAAATTGATTTCAGATTATATTTATTTTCCGTCAATTCAATTATCAATATGAAAATTTAAATTGGGTGTAGCTCATTTAAACGAATATTAAAGAAAATAAATAATCACAATGCTAAAGTTTAGAGATATAAGTAAGCAAAAACAATCAAAGTGGAACCGAGGAAAAAAGTTTAGTAAGGAAATAAACCAAATATACTTAATCATGGTATTTAACCACGTGCATTGCACGTGCATAAAACCTTTTGTGTGTGTGTGTGTATAATACGTCGACTTTATATTCCTCTATTAAGTTGATGTTCATAGATGGATATCCAAATTCACATATATGTATGAGAAAGAATTTGATGTCCACCTTAAACATAATTTAAACTTGATTGTTAGTAATTATCTAACTTTAAAAGTTTTGCTAAGATTATATCTGCTTCCTTCTCAACTAACTAACAAATATTGCTTTCTCCAAATGGTCTAATGCAGTCTTCTAAAAAGGATTCTATGCAAGATTATCTTTTACACCCAACAAAGTCACTTACTTGGTGTTTGGGGAGGCTTTTGTTTTGTTTTGTTTTGTTTTTGTTTTTTTTTTTTTTTTTGGTGTTAAAGTAGCTTATAAGTTAGTTGTTATATATCTATATGTTTAGTAAAATACTTAATAAGTTAGCTTATAAGCCTCATGTTAAGAAGCTGGTATATCCCATGCTTTAGAAACTTAGCATATAAGCTCAATTAAATAAGATAAGTCTGACCAAATAAATTACTATATTTATCAAATAATTTTTATACAATTCTTATATAAAAGGCAAAAGCCACAAAAAGCCAACGCAGCTTAAAAACTTTTAAAAATCCACCTATCCAAATAAATTACGAAAGAAAACGAAACAAAATTTTCTATGAAGTCATCTCCTGTTTGGTAGGAGGATGACCAGAGATATCCAGCCAGCTGCGGCCGTGTGTTCTCTCGTCCGCAAATTTAGCTGCCACGCAATTATTTTACATCCTTAGTCATATTTGCGTATGTATTGACTTCTTTTATTTTATTTATTTAGTCCTTTTAAGATAAACCCGTTACACCACCACTCCATTCATTAGGAGATGGGGTTCTCTGCATCCTAGTTGACTTCGCTTTCATCTGCTGATCCCTAACTAGTTCCCATATTTACAATGAGCATTACTGTCACTTATTCCATCAGAAAAATAACACATCTTGAGTTTTAAGGGTTACTTACGCTAAACTCCCTAGAACTTTCAAAATTTTGCAGTAAGACCCCAACTATTTCCAGAATTACACTAAAGCCCACAGGCATTTGCAGAAAACTCTCAAAGTTAACGCTCGTGTCACATGTAACTCATATGACTCAAAAGAAACGAAATACCTCTTAAACTATTAAAAAACCCCTTTATGACCTTTTTCTATATTCTCAAACCTACAAACGAAAATCTCTTGCCTTTCCTCTCATTCTCCTCTTGATCATCCCCAGGTTGGTTGGGGGGTCCCGAACCGTATACTATTAGTTTTTTTTGCTAAATTCTTCCTTCAAAATGCTCATTTTATGTTATTTTTGGGTGCTAGTTTATGGGGTTAATCGAAAAAATGTAGAAACTTATTAGAGGTTTTCTGCAATTTTAATAGTTACTGAGCTTTAGTGTGATTTTGGAAGTTATGGGGGTATCACATAATGTGAAAGTTCCTGGGGGATTTAATTTACCCTTTTTATTAACAAAAAAAAAATAGAAATTTGGTAGATGCTATAAATTTATAAGCAAGAAGCTAATGAGAATTGCAACATGAACTTTAGTCTTTGGGATCAGGCATGGGAATTAGGTGATCAACTGTCATATGATCCATCTGCATATGTCACTCTGACATTGTTAGACATAAAATTATAACCTTTAATTATTACCATCATAACTTTGGAATTATACACCAACCACTTTATATTTCATTTTCTATACACCAGCCCCTTCAATAATTTGCATCTTTGCTTGTTTTAGGTAAATATAAATCTATACAAGGACTTAAAAGATCTAAAAAGTGAGGGCATCAGCAGACAACCTGTGCCCAAGTTAATTAGTCCCCCGACTCCCTCCATGTGCTTTCTGTTTCAGTAGTGACCAAACCCAAAATGACAAAATTGACCCTTTTTTTTTTCAGCAAAAAACATAGGACACGTGGCAAAAACCCATTCAGTGAAGGCACATATATAATGATTTTCGTGAGCTCAGGAGCCAGTAGAGAAAACTGAAAGGAAAAAAAGAAGCCAGAAGGACTCTTTCTCCTTTTGTTGGAGGAAAGAACTCAAGAAAGAAATCAAAAGAGGAAGTGTGTACACTCCTGGATAAGGGAAGAAGAAAGGTGCCATTTCTTTAATCTCTATTTGTTTTCATTAATCTTTTGATAATTTTCAAGTTCGTTTATTTAGTTCTGAGATCTTGGCATGTTGGTTTTGAAGTTTTGTTTGAAAATAAACAGGGATTATATTTAAGTTTTAGCAGGTAATTGAAGAAGAGACGTAATATTTCTATACTGCAGTCTTTATTACAATGAGAAGATCTTTGCTTTGGAAATTGGGTTTTTTGCCTATGGTTTATAGTTTTATCCCCATTTATTTTTTAAACCCACCCATCTTCTGAAATGACTCTTAATTCAACATATAATAACATTATGTATAATTTAATAGTTTGGTATACAACTTGTAATCAAATATAACAACAACTTGCATCTGAATATAACAAATTAGATTAAAATATTACAATTTATCAAAAAACTATAGCAATTTACAAGAAAATAATATCATATACAAACTGTTAAATACAAAAAGTGGGATTAAATATAATTCAGTTGAATGTTGTTTGTTTAAGATAGATTTTGCAGGTATGTGGGTTTAAGATTAAATGAGAGTTAAAACTTTGGATTAATACGGAAAAAAAAATACTCAGAATCTTTAGGCCATATTGTATTGTCCTCTTCTTTTTCTTGGAATAATTTCTGTAATTTTTGGCGTAAATCTGTCGCTTTCTTTCCTTTATATATGAATGATTTTCTTTGGTGGCATCATGATATGGACTTCGTTTGCTTTTACATATTATTTGTTGAAAATTTTATTACGTGTTCGGTATTATTTATTTATTTTAGGAGAGGGTGGTGTTAGAAGTCTACAGATGAATAGTCTTTTTTTCAATCTTTTTTAAGGAGGAATTGATTTTATTAAAATAATAGGGGTCTGTTTATGAATGGGCTCAATCAAGTATGAAATTGGTTCCTCCTTTTCTAATAAATGAAATAGTATTTTGAACAATTCTATTTTTATTGATTTGTAAATTCTAGTTGAATTCTTATTGATCCTACTTTGGTCTATTCTTTTAAATTGTACCATCGACCTTTATACTAGTCAAATAACCATTTTGTCTTAAACTAACTCGAAAATTGAAAACTTTGATTAGTTTCAAATTTTATATAAGCTAATTCAGACTCGAACAACACGACGAGTGACTCTTGAGCATAAGCTGAGAACTATAACCTAATTAAAATATCTGTACTTTATTCGGGTTTTTATTTAAATCCATTGTTCTTATTCCTCTTTAGTACAAGCTACACGAGAAAGTATTCAGTGATGACTATTAATGACTTTAATGTGCACCAAATCATGATATCTAATGATCTAATGGTTGATCTCTATTTGGTGTATATTTAATACCATGCATCCAGGACTGTTTGATACTTTCTCATGGATATACCTATACATGAATATTCTAGCTAGTGAGCACGGTCCATGACGTTTAAGGTGTATCAAATGAATATCAACCATTAATTGGATCAATGTAGGACTTCTGATGTCCTTGATATCCATTTGTTGTATATTTAATACCATATATCCGGAACCATTTGATACTTTCTCCTTGATATATAGTTATATATGAATATCAGTTTGAATTTCATCTTGTAATAAGTTGGTAATGATGAACAATATGGAGAGTGTTGGGTAACGCCACAAAGATAATACTAGCTAATAAAATGGAAGATTATATATACGTTATTTTTAATTTGCTTACCAAATTTCAATATAAAAAAGTTTAATTGCACACAGACATCATGTAGTATTCTCATTTTGGAATTTATAATTCTCGTACTTTGATCTTGGCACATATACCCTTTAAGTGAAATTTTTTTGACTTTTTTATTCATAGAGCGCCTACTTACTAAAAAAACTTCTCTCTTTTTCTAGGAGTAATGCCAAAAAAATATATTCACTTCGATATTTGCCGAACTAAAACTGTAAGGATTATATTAAGCTCCAAGGCACGACAACTTAGAGTAGAACTTCTATAAACTTAAGTAGAAATGAGCATGTGTCCACCATATTTTTTTATCATTTCATTATGCTTTGAGATTTGTGCTACATACTAATACTATCTTTGAGATTTGTGTCTTCATTTGTATTATATACTAGCACAAATTTCAATGCAAAATTAAACAATAAAAAAGTTGGTGAACAAATGACTCCTATCCACTTAAGTTTATAAGAGATTTACTCCGACAACCTAGCAAATATACCAACTCATTTTGCAAATATTTAAAACAATTCAGTTAAAATAATTTATCGAAATCATATCAACTCATTTTGCAAATATTTTAAAATATATATTATGGTGAGATTCATATCACGGAGTCCCAAAAAGTAGTATTAATTCTTGAACAAGATAACCTTAAAACCATTCAAGCATGGATTGGATTGCATAGACTCCACATTTTTCAACTGTTGCATTATAGAATCCAAGTCCTATCTATGTACCACCCTATTTCATCATCATCAACTCTTTTGCCCTTTTGGCCAAACCCATAAAGCTTGTCAAATTTATGGCTCTAGCAATTTCGCAGTTTATCAGCCACAAGTTTGCTGAACTTTTCAGTATGAATTTATTATCAACGAGTCAACACATGTAGCTCCCCTTCAATCACGGACAAAAGCCTATAAAAAGTCTTATGTAATAGGTTTCTAGTGCCAACTCGATAAGTTATGCATCCCTGGACGCCCTTTGAACCCTCGTACAGTTTCTATAAACTGATTCTTGGTACATTTGCGAACCAATCTCCTCCGATACACGAATAGGTTCCTCAAAATTAGCATACCACTTTCAAGTATGCTACATGCAAAGTTTCTTTAAGTGCACATGTGCAAGACGCAATGCAACATGTGCAATTAAGTGGACGAAGACACACAATAGAGTATATGAACCGATGACTTTATTGTAACTAAAGACATATGTGTGAACGCATGAAATGATAGCGACGTCTCATGAAGAGATATTTTGAGTGGGGCCCATGTTGTGAAAGCCATGTGCTGACTTCCTGCGTGAGGAGATGAAAACTGGCCCACCCATGTGCTGCTGCAAGCAAAACCGCGTGAAGAAATGCGGTTGAGTTCGAAAGGCCTACCCGATAGCTTTTGCTGCAACTATATATATCTCTTGTAATCAGTCATCTAGGGTTTGGTGAAAAGTGCGAAGTGAGGGGGCAAAATCAAAAACAGGAGCTTCTATTGGCGGCTGCAGCAGGCTCAAGGCAGAGGTGCGCAGGAGCAGCAAAAAGGAAAACGCAGATTCCTTTTTTTTGGTTGTAGCAAAGTACAGAGGCGGATGTCTTTTGTTTTGAGAGAGAGAATTGTGTGAGAGGTTTTGAGAGTATTTGTTTGAGGGTTTAGATTGTGTGATTGTAAACCCTAGTTGTATCTCTCCCTCTAATAGTAGATCTCCCCCCTCCTTGCCCCGTGGACGTAGGCGGTTTGCCGAACCACGTAAAATTGGTTGTTTGAGTTTGTGGCCATTGTAATAGCTTGTAGGATCCCTCGACAGGTCAGTCCGAGAACTGATGAGAGGAAGAGCCGATATCTCACTTGGTTGAGATATCCGCTTCAGATTCTTGTCTCCTTGGTGAGACGAGAATTCTTATCGATCTTTCTCTCTTATTGTGAAGACTATTCAGAGTTTGAATATCCACTCTATGAAGATAGATGTGGAGAAATTTAATGGCACAAACAACTTTGGATTATGGAGATGCGAGGTTTTGGATGCGCTGAACGCGCAGAATTTGGAGGATACATTGGAGTTAGATGGCAAGCCAGATGAGATTGAAGAGAAGGTTTGGAAGAAGATGAATCGAACGGCGTGTGGTGTGATTAGGTCTTGTTTGACTCAAGATCTAAAATATGATGTGATGAATGAGACTTCTGCGAAGAAGATTTGGGAGATTCTCGAAAGCAAGTATTTGACCAAGAGTGTGGAAAATCGCTTGCATTTGAAGAGGAGACTTTATCGTTTCCAGTTGAAGAAGGGAACCTCCATTAGAGATCACATGAACCACTACACAAAGCTTCTTGCGGATTTGGCGAATGTGGATGTCAAGATTGAAGATGAGGACAAGGCGTTGCTGTTGTTGAGTTCCTTGCCCGACGAGGAATATGAGACCTTCGTTCTTACTCTGATTAATGGGAAGGCATCACTTTCGTATAGTGAGGTCACCGCTGCACTTGTGAATTATCAGCTTCGAAAGAAGGATAAGGAGGCTTCGGTTGAGCCGGTAGCGGAGGCGTTGGTCGCAAGAGGGAAGGGTCCAAACCGAAAGAATTGGAAGTCACAGTCTAGAGTAGGAAAAGATCAGTGTGCTTGGTGCAAGGAGACTGGTCATTGGAAGAAAGACTGCCCAAAGCTCGACGAATGGATGAAGAATAAGCAGAAGGGAAAAGGGAAGCAACCATCATCAGAAGCAAACATCGTATCGGATGGTAATAATTCTGACTCTTCTATTTATTCGCTTTCTATCAGTCCTACAGATAGCTATTCGGAGGAATCTGAATGGATGTTGGATAGTGGTGCGACCTATCATGTGTGCCCTAGAAGGGAATGGTTCTCCAGTTTTGAGAAGCTGGTGGATAGTGGTGTGGTGTACATGGCTGATAACCGTGCATGCCAGATCCTTGGGATAGGAAGAATTCGCATAAAGATGTTTGACGGGACTGTTAGAGAGTTAAACGATGTGAGATATGTTCCTTCTTTGAGGAAGAACTTGATCTCGATTGGAGCTTTGGTTGGAGAGGGTCTGAAGGTTCGTGTTGAGGACATGGTTCTCGAGATTGCGAGAGACTCTCGTATTTTGATGAAGGGCGTCAGGAGAAATAACCTGTATTACTTGACTGGAGGTATAGTGACAGGTGGAGAGCTGACGACTTCTGTTGATTCGACTAGACTGCGGCATTTGGGGCTTGGCCATTCCAGTATTGATTCCTCGCATAGATTGAAAGAGGGTGCAAAGACCTGCAGTTTGAAGTCCAGTGAACATGTTGATGTGAGCAAGAAGAC